ACGGTTTATCATGGTATAAAGGCCTAATCACTACTAAGAGGCAGCAGGTACAATGGGGCAGACATGTGCCTTCTAGTTAAACATTTATGAATTATTTGCCATTAGTTCCCTTCACAATTTTAAGCAGGAAGAACGACAATATTGGCAGAATATGATGAATTCATTGTGTTTCTGCTTTCTCTCTTCAGCTACACAGAAGCCAAGATTTTTAGTCATTTCCAATTTTTAGAAAGTGAATTGTTCATCAACGACAAATGAGTTATGTGTAATGAGAAATTAGTTAAGAATTAACGCTTTAAAAGGAGTTATGATTGATTAAGGTAATAGTTCATAGTAGAACCAATCTTGGAGTCGAGAGTGTGCTTTTAAAAGTTCTTTTAGTCTTTAATAATTGGAAATAATTAAACATATTAGCTTATATGTAGGAAAGAACGAGAAAGCAACGAAGTATAATAAAGTGATCCTTATTCTGAAAAAGTTGTCGCTCTTGCTTTGCTTAAACCATATATCATTATACCGTTCGTGCAAATTCGCTAAGTTTAGATCAATGTACATTATCTAATAAAATATGCATAGGTCATATTGTCTAATCGTTTTTATTTGCTCAATCTGAGATACCGTACTAAACCTACATCACGTCAGTAAGTAACGTAAAATCACGTCTAATTGTTTCGCCGTTTTTGCAGCTATTATTATGATCAGATAAAAAACTACCTTTCTGTTTATAAACAATAATTGTATTAATCAATTAATCCTTTATTGACGCTGCTCTCTTTCTTTTCCGTCTAGTCTGTTCACCAATCACCTAATCCAGGTCCTTCTATGCCATGTTCATTAATTCATCCAGTCTATGGAGAATTAATATGGATTGTAGATAAAGCTGCTGCCAGTTTATTGAATACATAAATCAAATGTATTGTTGTCAATATATTTTATTACATGTTTACTTTTTACCATAATCTTCGAATTACATTACTTGAATAAATCTCAGGACAACAATTAAGGCAGAATAATATAAAATTCATTCTATTTTGTAATTTCTCATCAGCTTCTTACAACCATATATTTATTTATTTAAACACATAAACATTGGTACAAGGAGGCACCAAATAGATATGTGCCACATAAATCATTCGATTTGTGTGTGGGCTAGAATACTGCTCGGGTGCCCAAACCGAAGCAGGTAGTTTTCTTAGGGAGCCACACCCGGAGCCGTCAACATAAAGGTCTGATACACAAGGCAGTGGAGTCACGTAAGGAGATGCAGTACCATGGTAGCTGCTAAACAATAATAGGTTCATACGCCGTTTGTTTCTTCAGGATCCTGGAGCCCATGTACACCATTGGTTTGGAATTAGAGTTTTCCAACTCCTCTAGGTGGACTCTGTGTCCACCAACCCGGTTAAAGAGCTGGACATTCGCTTTTCGTCCTCTCAATTTCGTTAACAACAGTAATGCCGCGAAAAGCCAGTGATTAGGACTTCCCTGGCAGTGGTTTTATGCACGTGGCCATGTGAGAACATTTTTCGAGGGATAGTTGACTCTCCCTACTCTCGGCCGTACCAGGACATCTGGGGGCTACAACCATGTATGTATTAAAATGTAACATTGAGGTATGATATAATGTAATAAATCTTTTATATCTATTTTCAAGTAATCTGAAACTTATGTAAACTCTTCACAATTTCTGAGATTATCATACTATTCATCTTAACAGTTTTTAGAATCCATCTAATTACGGCTTCATTTACCGATGTTTTTGAATTCCATCTCTACTTAACCTCAAATGTGTTTATATATATACATGGTTATCTCTGTTCTTCTAATTCATTTCATCATCAATGTCAATTACTTCACATGATATCATACCTCAATGTTGCACTTTAATACACATCATTAGTTGTAAGCAACTCATAAGAAATCATAAAATACAATGAACGCATATTATTCTGCTTCAATTGCTGTTTTTGGCTTTGATAAAGTTCGTAAAAGGAACCAATTGTATGAAATTACAATAGTGTTTTACTGAAGGATTAATTTATCCTATATGATGATAATATGTCATTACTATTTAATAATTAGTCATTTATATAATTTTGATAGATGTCTGTCAAATTAAATGGTTAATTTATTTGGCAAATATATTTCTGTGAATTTTTGTTAAATCTTTAATGTTTAATTTGATAATTAATTGATAACTCTTGTTTATATCTTGTTATCTCATGAGACATACAAAGTATTTGACCATTTGTTTGCATACAGCCAATTTAGAGTAAGAGAATATTATTGTTATGGATAATGTACATAAAGTCATCTGTTTGTGTATCGTAGAAATAAATGAGAGTCAAGAAACATGGCACAAGTCCATGAAGTCACTGTCAAGTGGACTGAGTCATGTTGGTAAGTGTAGACTACCTGGTTGGGGACCACAAGATGATAGCAACCGATGGTTAGAGACCCTGAATGACATGGCTCAAAATCGTTTGCAATGACACAGGTGCATCCACTCTTTGTGTTCTCCCAAATTCTAATTTTCTGAATTCTTCATGTCCCTTTCTTTTTCTCTTTCCAAATTTATTTCACCGGATTATACTCTTTAAATAACATCTCCAAACCCTAATCTTCTTGATTACTGCTTGTACTCTTGCTACCTCTACCATTACTGGATTTGAATCGACAACTGCATCTCTGTGCTAAGGTGGTGTGGCAACTCGAACTGATGTACGTACGTACGAAGTTCTACGTTGTTACTGACTGACTGACAACAAATGAGTATGCATTTAGAATGGTCAATGTAATTGATGACAAACAATATATAAATCAGAATCGAAGAAAATCTGACGAATGTAAGTACCTATTAAAAGAGTATGGCTTTAAATGACCAAAATTCAAATAATCCCCAGAAATTAAGTGCTAAAAATACATTAATGTTGATTCTAAACCGGGTGAATCGACAAGCGTATCGTTTTCAAATCTGGATAAATCATTAGTGCCTTTAAAGTGAGTTCCTGTAGTGTTTTTTTGTTGTTGAGAATCTTGAGTAATATAGTTCTTTCATGTTGGAAGGGAAACAGTTATCACCAGTCCCGTTAGATGATGTTTCCACTGTATCATAAGTTGATTAACGTATAGAACGTCTGTTATTAAATAACAACTCGGTGGTTCAACGGTTAGGTGCTCAAAGTGAGACCTGAGTGTTCTCTATCTGATCACTAAAGGCGTTGTGCATGATAACCGCCTAGGAGTTCAGTACATGAACAAAATAGATCTTTTAGGCATGGGCTGATCCGGCAGTAGAGTTTTCATAAGGCTACGTAAAATTAATTTCAATGTGACTCAGCAGTCAATTCAACTTCGTTTTCTAGAATTTGCTATACACTTTATTGTATTAGAAAGAAAGACACTACCTGTTTTCGGGCTTGAAATCTTTTTCAAGATTACCGCTGACCTACTATTATCACCTTTTGTTCAAATACAGTTGGTTATAAGTATACTTTAGTGTTCTCTTTTGGTGGTAGCCTTTATGAAAATACTATCAACATGAGAACAAAAAATTGATCCCTCTTCAATATGAATCAAGATTTCAATAGAATCTGATCATTTTCTTCTAACAGCAGAATAGTTAAGAATATTTGAGCAAAAAGTTGTTTTCAAAAACTTGAACACCAGGTTCTACAGTTACAAGTACATAATTATTGTGATATTTTATAAGGGCAAAATTAGACATTCATTAATGAATTCGAAAATGTTGAAAATAATGGGCGTTTGCATCTATTACGGCATAAATACTTCAAAATTGTGTTGTTTGTAAGTTAGATAGGTCAGGATGGTTTTTAGCAGTGTCAAGTTATGATGGTAATTTAATGAGGTAATTAAAGCCTGTCTTATCTCGAGAAAATAACATGAATTGGGCGCTTTCTAATGTTATTCAGATACAGGAGTTTTATACCGAGTCTTTTCGACCCTAAGATTGTTTGGTTTCATCAGCTGATGCAAATTAGAGTAAAATAAGATTTAACTCATAGGTTGTATTCGTCACAGTTAGGTCCCATTTTAGTGCCATTGTTGACCATGGAGCACTGGACAATTGTTTCTTTCCACTAAAACACTCCTAGACTGTATACACCCAAGTGGTTCATCTCTCATAGCAAATGCCTGACTATCAGAACCACTCGGTCAGTGCGCAGTGATACAATGCGAACTTCAATCAATTCGCAATATAGCTTCGAGGTGATCCTTATTCGAACAAAACAGCTATCCGATCCTCCTTGGTTTCAGCGGTGCCTCGGATGAAATCAATTTGTGACCAATGTCACCTACAAATGAAATCATTTTCCACAAGATCTTCCAACTGGGACGTATCTTCATTTAATGTAAGTGTCCTACAAATTCGATTGTGAGAAGCATACTACTGCCAAGTGAAAATAAGTAGTTTGAGAATTGCAATCGCCTTTTTAAAATGGTAAATTTTTCAAAGGTTATGTTAAAAAGGAAGTAGAAATTGATCACTTCATAGACATTCACAGTATGTGCTCCGAATCATGTATTCGTTTCATTAATTATAACAGAAGCTAGGACGATTACTATGAATTATATTATCAACTTCAATTGTTTCTCACCACATAAGAGACATTATGTTCATCATGTTTACATAATGTAGATTCGATCCATGTATAGATATCGATTTGGTATTGATAAGTATTAAACAGCCCAAAATTAAGGCCTATGATTACTCGTCAATTGCTTAGTCTAGTATCCGGATTACAACTACATCGATATAATTAGATAGACACCAAGAGTTAGAAGGACACCACATTGAATAATAGCTAGTGGTTGACTAATGTAAGTATTATAATGGTTGAGATCAGGAGTCAATTTAAGCTGGACCACCATGAAAAACTTGGAAAAACTGGACGGCCGTTTCGTACTAGTAAGGGACTCCTCAGCAGTGCGCATCCACGGTCCCGCCAGATTTGAACCCAGGACCTGTCATGACTCATGATTTCAATCAGTGAAATTTCTAAAATCTCCACAAAACCCCTTCTGGTATATATCATTGTTCGGATTTTAACAAAGAAATTCTCCACACTTAATACAGCAATAGATATTCAGTGTACTTTGAAGTTATTGAAATACAATTAAAATTCACGTAAATGAAAAGTTACTACTATCTAGTTGTAATATATTTAGAGTGTAGAAAAGTGTTGTCCAACTTTGGCTAATTATTTATTGATCAATTGCATTTTAACATATCAATGGGAAAATTCAAACAACCAATACAGAGATGAATTATTATTATTATTATTATAGTTACTTTATCTAGGTTTGTTTTTGATATATGATCTTGATGAAACTACACTAAAATCATCTTTTCATTCACTTGATTCTCTTAACTTATGTAAACTCATATCGTGTTCAATTATTACGTTAGTTATCTTCCCAAATTCTAATCCCAGTAAACCTTTCACAATCCCGACCTCATTTAATTATTGCTTCACCCAATTCCCTGTTTTTTGAAATTGTCTCCGAATGACCTTAAACCTGTTCTTGTATACATATATTAGTTATTATTGATAATACATACATGGTTGCAAACAGTAGATGAGAATGATGAAATAAAATGAATTCATTTTATTCGATCTCACTTGTTGTTTTTTGGCTTGATTCATATTCGTAAAGGGAGCCAAGTGCATGAAATCGGAAATCATGTAATATGTAGACTACTACGAATTAGTAAATAGAAGTGCATGCTTAATAAATTTCTCAAAATGTTTTCAAGTGTTATGATACTAATAATAGCAATAGTGATAATGATAATATGTGTGAATAACTTATGTTTAAGCTAAGAAAATACACAAACGAAGGTTGTATAAACATTGATTGAACTATGTCACCATAACATTAAA